AACATGATTAAATACATCTTTATATTGATGATCTTTTAAAATTCGATCGGTGGTAGATATTAATTAAAATAATTATTGGTTATAGGGTGTCTAATCGATAGAAGCCGTTCCTAATTTAAATCCGGTGTCGAATTAAATGCACGAGTAATTAAATCCCAGTAGCGCTTTATGAGTATGACGTGAATCCCGCCCCTATATTAATATTGGGGAGTACGCAAATTTTCGATATGCTTTTTCAACGCTATAATTTGCATATTAAACGATCGATGAATTCGACGTGATTATTTATTACACTTTATTTTATGGCCAGCGGGATAAAATTAATTAATAAACACGCTGTACTTTTGATATATTAATTTGATGCACGCGCTGAAAATTTTGTGTCGAGTTTATTAATGTTAATTTACATCGTGTTTGTTTTATAATTTTAGTATTTATTTATGTTTATGAATATTGACGGAGGTATATCTAGGCCCCGTTTAAATATAAATCAATTTGTGCGGGAGGTAAAAGTCGGTTTAGAGTGAAAACAAACTCCATCGGATCTAAAAAACCGGAATGTTTTCATTCAATTTTTCATGCCCCTCAGAAGGTGTGTTATAAACACTTGAAAAAAAAAAGTAGAAAAAAAGACCGTTCCATCTTTTCATCGAGTTATAAAATATGAAGCAAAAGTTTAATGGATGGAACTAAATGAGGATAGAAAGGTTGCTGGAAATGAAACGATAGAGTTCCAAATTAATCTCTTCCCTTTATTTCGGCTACTTTCCCCTATTATAAATTCTCATTCACCGCTCATGCTGCGTTAGAGGGTACTCTGAAACTTTTAATTTTAATTAACCCGCTTAATTATGTGTTTTGGTTACGTGAAATGGTTACAAAGTCTCATCGAAAAGATATTTTAATATAATATATGTTTAAAAAAATCAATTTTCTTTTTTTTTATGTTCATAAAATCAAAACTCCGAAATTTGAAGATTCCAAGAAATGATCTCTAATGTATTAAATACTGAATAACTTTAAATTGCTTTTTATTTCATAACGATATCTCAATTAGTTTTTGAGATACGTAAAGATTAATTATTCTAACATATATGTTTAAGATTACGCAAGGTTGAGTTTAAAAAAATCATAATTCCGAAATTTGAAGATTTTAAGAAATGATCATCAACATATTAAATACTAAATAAATTTGCTTTAAATTGTTTTTTATTTTATGATGATATCTTAATTAGTTTTTGAGATACGTAAAGATTATAAGGAATGAAATCTTATGTTGATAACAGAAATTCCACAATGATGTATATTTATTCAGAAGTTATGTACAACAATTGTTTTGCCCTAAATCTAAAGTTAAGTGCACTTAATTTTAGATTATTTTTGTTTTGAAAACTGTACATTCGCTGCATCGCCTCACTCATTTTGTCTTCAGCATTTTGCATTTAACACGTCTTCAGCCTTTTTCTTGTTGAGTGGGACGATGAAGTGATATTTGCGGTTTTTGAATTGTTTGAGGTTCCATCCTTCCAATCCTTTTCCACATGATGCACAAGTGTTACAATCCTTTGATCATTTCTCGTTGACTGACGTTGTACCTGAAGACGCTCTAAAAGGGCGAAACAATTGTTGTACATAACTTCTGAATAAATATACATCATTGTGGAATTTCTGTTATCTACATAAGATTTCATTCCTTATAATCATCACACAATGAACCGATAAACGTAAAGATTAGTTATTCTAACATTTATGTTTAATTGTAAAATTATGGAAGATTCAGTTCAAAAAATCATAACTCCGAAATTTGAAGATTCCAAGAAATAATCTTCAACGTATTAAATACTAAATAAATTGGCGTTAAATTACTTTTTGTTTCATAACGATATCTCAATTAGCTTTTGAGATACGTAAAAATTAATTATTCTAACATTTATGTTTAAGATTATGCTAGGTTGAGTTCAAAAAATCATAACTCCGAAATTTATAGATTCCAAAAAACGATCTTCAAAATATTAAATACTAAATGAATTTGCTTTAAATTGTATTTTATAGCACGATGATATCTCAATTAGTTTTTGAGGTATGTATAGATTAATTATTCTAAAGTTTGTGTTTAAGATTATGCAAGGTTGAGTTCAAAAAATCATAACTCCGAAATTTGAAGATTCCAAGAAACGATCTTCAAAATATTAAATACTAAATAAATTTGCGTTAAATTACTTTTTGTTTCATAATGATATCTGAATTAGTTTTTGAGATACGTAAAGATTTATTATTCTAACATTTATGATTGAGATAATGCAAGGTCGAGTTCAAAAAATCATAACTCCGGAATTTGAACATTCCAAGAAATGATCATCAACATGTTAAATACTATATCACTATGCTTTAAATTGCTTTTCATTTCATAACGATATCTCAATGAGTTTTTGAGATATGTGAAGATTACCCTACTACCAAAATGCTTTATGATTTTAAAATTATAAAATTTTTCTATTTTATTGTTAATTTATTGTTGCATTTGAAAAGCTAATTAAAGCTGCACCGATGATAGTTTTACTTCCGAAAACTGAACTGATTTATTATTGTATTATATAAATGTTTATTGGAACAAAATGGAACAAACGTTTATAGAACAAAATTATAAAATAGCTATATAATAATTTTGTATATGTTGTATAATGATCATCATTCAGATTTTATATAACCACACAGCTTATAATACAAAATAGTCTTATTAGATCTTCCCAAAAGCGTAAAATGTAGCGTAATGTAGCTTCAGATTGCTGAACATAACACAAGGGACATTATCTGAAGTATATAACTAAACGTGTTTTTAATGGGTTTCTGCGTTGCATTGCAGATAACATTAATTAAAAACTTCGATGAAACTGATCATTATACTGCGTAAATCACAGCTTTTGTGATTATAGAAGCTTAGGATTTAGGGAGGTGGAATTTTTTCATTCATTCAATAGTTCAAAATGAATCCAATGTGTCTCGTTATTGTGCATCAGGTTTTAAAATTTAATTTAATTAACTGTGAATAGTGGACCTGATATTTAACAATACATATAAAAGTTATTTTAAAACATTTATTTAAATATTTTATAAATATTCTATGACAGTTTATAACGCATTTTGCAACATAATTATACAACATTTATAAAATTATTATACATATAAACATGTTAAACAATTTTTATTGTGGTTTTATAGATGTTTATGTAACTTTTTTATAGAAGATCAAGACAGCTATAAAATAATTGAAAAAGATTATGTAAATTGTGCCTATTTTGGTGCTATAGTTGTTTTATAAACATTTTTATTACGTTGTTGAGATTAAATATGTTGTATAAAATTTATCACGGAAACGTTTTTACAGCTTTAATAAAATAAGAAATTGTTAGTTGGGTAGTTATCCTAATATTTATGTTTAAGATTATGCAATTTTGCGTTCAGAAAATCATAACTCCGAAATTTGAAGATTCCAAGAAATAATCTTCAAAATATTAAATACTAAGTAAATTTCTCTGAAACTTTTAATTTCAATGAATCCGCTTAATTACGTATTTTGGTTACGTGAAATGGTTAAAAATTTCCATCTAAAAGATGCTTTAATCTAATATATGTTTAAAAAAATCAATTTTCTTCTGAAATTGCTACTTAATTTAGATTAAACGGATACATTGCTGGTTTATTTTACATAACGGTTGATTCATCGTTTCCTTCTGGATCACTTCATTCGCTCTTGATCCCTAGATTACCAACTTATAAATAGTTTTACTTGTTTTTGAACAAAAATAGAATTGACCACTTTAAAGTATTTGTAGACAACATATTTTTGCATCTCTTTCATTTTTAAAATTGAATTTTCCGTAACAAGAGCCGAGATATCCGCAGGGGTTAATTGAGTGATTTTATTTCAGGTTGGTTATCCGAGAGTACACGCGGTTTGAAAATGCAAAAAGGAAACAAAACGACATGGAATTTCCGAGAATCTCAAAGGAATTCTATGCAAGGCCTGATCTTTTACGTAATTACTCCGTTTGACCTAGAATTTCAGGAGCTTTACTTTTTTCCTTTTCTTCTTTTTTCTTATCGTAAATCGTGTGATTATTTATTTATCCCTTAATTCTATCTAATTGAAGTAGATAAACCATGCTCTTCGTTAAAATTTATGTCACAACATCTTTCTCAAATTGCAATTCTACTTTTCTTAATATTTAATTTTGCAACACCACTAAACAAGAAATGGTCAGATATTTCAGTAATAAGGTTTATAGAACTCTTAACAAATTTATTACGAGACCAACATTTCTAAAATTACCGTTCAGAAAATATAAAGCGAAATTTTATCGGTGTGTAGTTTCGGAAATAAAGTCATTCGAAAAGATCGAGTGAATGTTTTAAAAATAAAGAACAAACTTGTATAGCTGCTATCAATAATTACGTTCGTAACAGCGACGTTAGTTTGCATCTGGGGACGACTGCTCATCCATAAATAAGAGTTTATCGTAGTAGAGCTCGAATTTGCGAGGTTATAGTACGGTTATTTTGCTCTTTCTGTTTATTTACTTCCCGTTAAAATGTAAACGTCAATGTTTGTTCCGCATAAACTCACCCTTTCGTTATTTATTATGTCTCTATTGCTTTCTATTTTGATTATCGTCAAAATGAGATTAGTGGTTTAGTATTGTTTTATTATTATTACCATATTTACGTTATGTGGACTTTATAGACACATGCTGTTTACTTAAACGAGAACTATAACAACAAGTGGTGGAAGTTTTATGTAGAAATTAACAGTTAAATGGGAACACATTAAATTGGAAAAATCTTTGGGATTTTAAGTCTGTTAAGTTGCTGTGAATACACAATGGCTAAAAAAACCGTTTATGGATGATATTTTTATGATTCATTACACTGCCCAACAATATTTTTGTTCTCATACACCATTACGTGTAGTTTATTTCGTTTTTGAAAAGAAAAATCAACTGTACTTTTTACTGGTTTTAAATTTATTAATCGTTTTGTCTTACATGTTTCGATAACAAGTTATCATCTTCAGAGACGCTACAAAGAATTAAATTATAAATTATACTGGTTTTAAAAACATGTGGGTTAATTAACGAAAATGAATAATTCTATTTAAAAAATAACTAAAAAATACTTACTGCGTCAAATTTAATTAAGAAGAAACATTTAAATTAAGGTTCAACGTGAATACAATCAAAGATCGGGGTGTAAAACTAAAATTCTTGTTTGTAATTTGTTTTTGGTGTTAACATCTATGCTGTTGCTGTCGAAATAAAACGTAACGTGAACTTGTTCTTAATCGATAACGGAAAGAAAGAGAGATGTAACTAACTGGTTGTACCACTATTGCGAACTCTGTGTACGAATTAAATTGGTTTTTAAAAATCAAAATCACATTCATATCAAATATATTCTATGTTAAGATCAATAACTTAATTTAATCTTATATTATGTGTTCATTATTGTGTTTCCTACTTTCATTTAACAGATCTAAATGTCGATGAGTTTCAAAATGAAATATTTTCCAAAATGAGATAATATAAAACGAGAAATAGGGAGAAGAAAGGGGGGGGGGGGGAAGGGAAAAGGGAATGTTTGGTCGTAAGGATCCCAAAAAGTGCGAAATTGTGTATACGTACCACCTACACAAAGTCCTCTGCAATTTGGGAGGTTAAGGTTAAGGAANTCAACCTCACCCAGAAGAATGGCGTCTTTTTATCCATGCTTCAAAATTGAGACTTCTTCACATAGAAAATGTTTATCTATCCATCCTGCTTGGCCACGTAGTCCATATGAGGGACCAAATTTAATTAATTTTAGTACAAATAGAATTTCAACGCTGACCTCAAAGTTGTAGCAATTCTACTCGGTTTACAACTGGGGTGCACAAAGCACTGCTGTTTCCTTTGTGAGTCGATCCTGCTAAGTTGCTGATAATGCACAATAAGTTTAAACCGTTTATGGATGATATTTTTACGATTCGTTATAAACATTTTTTTTAATAAAGATGTTTTCTCACCGCTTTTAGTTTTCGATTTATTATAAATTGTAGTTACCAAAATCGTCCATTCGGAAATTTAGGGATTTTTCTTATTTTGATTATTAATACCTTGTTTTCAAATATTTGTAGTAATTAACATTTTGTTGTTACACAAAGGGTGAATAGATATCGAAAAAGTATATTAAAGCGGCTAGATTAAAGTCTGGTGGAAAGGTTGCAATGCGGTAACGAGAAGAGGGTGCATATATTATTGACTGTGTGATGAGAAGGAAATGTGTAGGGTGTATGATGATGAGGGTTCATATAGCGTAATGGTGATAATAACTGGAATACGGAGAGTACGGTTGCGTAAGATACTAAAATAAAAGCTTATTGTTATTAAAACCGATTATGTGTCTTAAAAAAGAGAATGAAGCTCATTACGGCAAGTCCCGAATATTTAAGAAAATTAAAAAATTTCAAAGGGTTGTAATTAAAATTCAAACAACTCACTGCAGAACTGAAGGAGTTTTGAAAGTAGTAGTAAGGGGAATTGTGGAATGTACGCAATATATAGAATATTCTTAAACAAACAGTATTTCAGTTTAATAATAGCAAGAAGATGCGCGAAAGAAATAAGATGTTACCACTAATACTAGAGAATAACCAAAAATTACGAACAAGAAACAAGACTGTGGAAATCGGATTGGTGCAAAGTTCTTTAAATGGTAAGCACGTTGAGCAAACTGAGACGAATCACATACTTGGCAAGCAAATTCCCTTTAAATAGGGAAATGGGAAAGCAAGCAGAATTTATGCCTCAAATAAGGATATAGGAAGATATTCATGATAAGAAGAAATAGTGCTAGGTTGTTGACAATCACAACACAGAGTACTTCTTAATACAGATTTAAGTTATAAAGGTTCTTCTTTATCTTACAATGACCCGAAACGATACCGTGAATAGTAAGGTAATGTAAGATTTTAAGTAGCCCCAGAAGAAAAAAATCTTTATATTTAAATCTGCTCAAACCTGCGAACCTTTAACTCTATCGCATCATATCTTAAGAAGGATAAAGAATGGGACATTGTGATATAAAAATTTTCTATTGAGAAAAAGGAGACCTAAAACTCCTCAAATTTTGTCTACTCATACCTGATACACCCTGTATATACGATATTAAAGATGGGACAATTGTCTTCAAGTCTATAACCAGCTCAGATATGATCTTTTTAACATTTAGAGCTAAAGCAGATTGCCTAGTATTGGTAATAATCCTAAATAATTTTACTTTCGAAGTTGAAGTTAACAATAGTCATCTTAATTCTACCTGCTTCATGGACTTATCTTCTCCTCACGATACAAGGAAACTGATTTGTAGCTCATTGTAAAAGTCAATTTTGCCAGCGTATGGTTGGTATGCCTCTCTCTCGAGTGTTCTACTTTCAGTGGAAATTTTCTTCCTAAAAAAATTTACTTTGTGTAATCGTAACATGGTAATCAACGTATTGACTCAATGTGTAATTTCAAAGGTCGTGGATTTAGCATGTTTTCCAGGTGTGCGATGGGGGCAATTCGCATGTTCAGGTAAGTTTCTATATACTGTTTAATGTAGCATTATCGGTAAATGATCAGGTTGTAGACTATAACTCTACCACATCATAAATAAGTAAAAGTTAATGACTTCATATCTTGTTATTACGAAATTTCTAAAATAACCGTCTACTATGGCAAGTTCGTTGGACTTCCTTAAAATTCACTAAAGAATCACCCTTGAAGTTTGTTGCAGTCATTCAGATACACCCTGTATATTATTAATTGCCCCTCTTCCCTTCCTTAATCCCGCCTACCCATCCGGCAACAATTCCCCCCTTTCCATTTCCTCTTCCAACCTCCTCAGCAGTATCTTTGCAGAAATTTTGAAAGTTGTGTCCAACAGGGTGATCCCTCTATAATTGCTCACCACCCTTTTACTCCTCTTTTTATACAGTGGGCATACTATCCCCATCCTCTACCTGTCCGGAAACCTCTCCCCCAGCCATACGTCATTTATTACCTTCCATAGCTTCTTCTTCACTGTCTCCGTCGCCTCCAACCATGTCTCATTCTAGATCTCATCCACTTTTAACTAAACTGTAAGCCATTGTTGGGACGATTGCTAAACGTGTTATGTGGTGTTTTTCGATTGATTCTAAGTATAATTTTTCGTTGAATCGTTTCATCGTAATAATTTGGTTCCCTGGAAACATGGAAAAATAGGAGTATTAATACGATTTCTTCTTTTGCCAAGGAAACTCTTGGGTCGTATAACTAATTCACTCTCATTGCTATGTTATCCTGAGTTATCATAACAGCTTTTGGTAATCCGATTGTACCAGAAGAAGAGGTAATAAAAGCATTTTGATCAACTGGATTGATGTTTCTATTTTATTTAAGACCGTATTCTATTTAACTGCAGGTCTTCTTCAGTCTGCCGATTCGTCAATTCGGGTCTGAAGCAAGTATTTCTTTAAATATTCTTATTCTTTATTCCGAGCTTCTTTCGTTTTCCAAAAAACTTTTTTTACACTACCACAGTTCCATTTTATAGCAATTCCAATCGAACTCTAACGTAAAACTTTTACCTGTGTTAAAGGCTGCTCTCATCATAGCAAAAAGTGCACTGTGCACTACTTTTTCTCTGGGTTTGACTTGACGCTTTTACCATTAACTAGGTGTTCTTAGCATTTAAGATTTTCTTTTGAAAATTTCATTTTTCTAATTTTAGGTTGAGGCAGAATCTATTAATCTGTCAAATACTTTCTTGAGCATTGCAATATATTAGCAATCTAGTGTATCACAATACCATCAATATCATCTTAATGTGAACGTTCTTTTTAGTATTTCCTCTTGGTAATTGATCTAATAGCCACACTTGAAGCTTTTTATCTTAAAGTTTTGTTGTTAATGATTCAAACGATAAATACTTCTACAACACAAAATTTTAGTTTCAATGTGCAATAGCAGTTAGGACCTCCGCTACATTTCATCTTGCCATTTCTCCAAGCCTGGTTAATCCTAATGAAGATCACAAAATTTTAATTTCTCTAAGCTTTCTATCTCACAATGTACTTATTCCTTAACAATCCAAGTTCTAGTTCTTTATTAGGATTGATTTATTATGTTTTATATTTAATTTATGTTGAAGCTAAGAGATCAAAAATAGATGAAACAGGTTACCATGTTTTCTTTACTTCTTTTTTCTCGTCTGTAATCGATTACCTTTATCTATATTAATCGAATCCGAGGTCGTGATATCTTCTATCTAGCATTCTCCTTTATAAGATTCCTCTTCATAGTGTCTATGGTAAGGTTAGAATTCTTCGAGTCAAATCTTTAGGTTTATCATCATGAATGACTTGAATCCAAATACCATGTTCGTCTACTTGGGCTAGATTTTTGAATACAAAAATCACCAGTCATCAGATTCTGCGAAAGCGATGCTTGTTTTGCAATTTTTTGTGTAACACCTTGAAAATTTAAAAGTACTCTTGAAATTATTTTAAATCTAAATATGTTTTGGGATTTTCTAGTTCTAAGGGAACCTAGATATTGATGTTTAAAAAGTTTTGAAATGTGGTTTATATTAAACTTCAACTGAAGATATAGGGTACGCATAACTTGTGCAATTCGAATTCCTTTCAATATCGATTTCCCTATCTGTTCGACGGTAGATGCAATCCAATTTTTCGCGGGGGCAAAATATTCTAATATCTCCACATCCACTGGAGTCGCGTACGGTGAAACGTGGACGTAAATAATGCAACGCCGTCCGTAAGACACGTCAGACTCGGCAATATTTAATTTCGACGCCCTTCTAACCGGCTTAGAGGGTGGAAGAGGAACAGGCGGGACTCCAAATGCGGTGAACTCGAAGCCGAATACATAAAACATCGTAAAATATTGATTATGTGCACTTTGGCTTCCCCTTTTACTCCCTTCACAACCGCATCATCTCTAGTACCAATATATACCATGTTACAAACACGTACATGTTTAATCCGAATGTGCTTAATATTACACGGCAGTTTATGTCTACGTTTAATGGGTTGAATCCCTTGCTAATTTATAACGTGTTAAAAGAAAATCATCACGCTTTTGCTGCAAAAGACGGTCGAAATTTGATCAGATATTTAGGGTGAATTTTCAGGGATTCCCATGGTCTTTATTTATTTACTTAGTTTTAGGAGTAGGTATATTTCCGGAAATACATCTTTTATAGGGTTGGGGATAACAGAAAGTGTTGTAAATTTCCCGGTAGCACCCAGTACGAATTATTTATTATTAGGGCTATTTATCTGTCGTCAGGATATGGGTTTTAGGAGTAGGTATATTATACTTAACTTTAGGCGTTTGGACATGTTCCAATTTATCAGAATTAAGAGAATTATTATAACCTTACCCAAAAAATGTACGCACACAGTTATTGAGATATCAATCCATTTTCTTCATGTCATGCTTTGAAGTGCTATATTATGTTGCTTCCAACGTTTCGGATGAATTGTCAAAGCTTAATGCGATATAAATCCCACAGAACAGGGGCTTAAGCTAAGGGGCTTCTTTTACCACACTGCATGAAAGGATGACCTCAGCCGGATGGTTAATTAATTAATTAGCATATTGATTCGGTTATTGTCTATCTATAAATCCAAAATGAAA